CCCCCCTTGCCCTTGCCGGTGCGGCGTCTCGTGCTAGGGGCAGACGCAGTGTCAACCGACTCGAAACCAACGAGGTCGGCCGCAGCAACAGAAGAAACAGAGGGTAAGAGGAAGGAGGGGAAACACCCCTCAAAGACGAGGGTGCGAGGGTCACCACGAGAGGCTCCTACAGCGACTATGCTCTTCTCTGCTGCTAGGAGGCGTTCCTCGAGGAGGTCAACGGTGAGTGTGGTGGGGCAAACTGAGAGGAAGTGGTCCTTGACTAAGCGAAGGGAGTCAGGGAGCCGGGTGACTATGTAGTAGAGGGTGATGTACATGGGGGGGGGGGGGGGGTTCTTGGCACAGAACTCAGCAGGAAGCGCAGCGCGGTAGCGAGTGTCACTAGTGCGAAGGTGCGTAATGAGGTCAGCGACTGTGGGAAAGGCAGCAAGGTCAAGCAACAGGTACGGCAGCATGAGGCGGCTAAGTGCAGTAGTGGGAGGGGAGGAGTAGCGTGCAACTACAGCATCGTACAAGGTCTTAGCACTCTTGTACAAGCTAAAGTGCGCACGTTCAGTGGTCGGTAAGTGGCGACACACAGCAAGGCGGGTAGCAGCATCGCGTGTGGCCCACTGCGAGCGAACAGTGTTTTTATCAGTAGCAGGCGGGGCAGGAAAGACACCAGAGGTGAGATCAAACAGAGAGAGTCCGTTTGCCCTATCGCATTGTAGGAACAGGTGGAGGTGATCGACCCAGACTTAAAGTCAACAGCACGACCCTCAGCATCAAAGGTAAGGACACTGGGGGTAGCCATGACTGCAGTGGCCTAGCAGGGATTGATCTCACTAGTGGGAGTAAGTAGGGCCGGGGCGCACTGGTAGGAGTAGTAGGGGCTGGACTATAGGGCGGCTCGGCTGGTGGGCGGCTCGGCGGCAAGACCGTTGGGCGGCTCGGTGGCTCGGCTGTTGCGCGGCTCGGCGGGTCGGTTGCTGGGCGGCTCGGCTGCTCGGCGGCTCGGCTGCTGGGCGGCTTGGCTGTCGGGCTGCTCGGCGGCTCGGTGGCTGGGTGGCTCGGCTGCTCGGCGGCTTGGCTGTCGGGCGGCTCAGCTACTGGGCGGCTCGGCGGCTGAAGGGGCCGCTAGGGGCGGCGACGAGGCCGTGTTGGGAGGGGAGCGGCGACGGGGCCGCGTAGGTAGGGAAGCGGCGGGAGTGAGGACGACGACAGCAAGTTGTGCAGCATGACAGCATGGTCCATTGCTGTAGGCCTTTGGTGGTTGGGTAGACGCATGCCACGTAGCAGTTTGCGCATGCTGTTCTGTAAGGTCCTGTTCATTCTTTCTGCAACACCTTGCTGCTGATGGGCGTAGGGAAGGGAGAGGAGTTGCTTGATTCCCCTTTCCGCCAGGTACTGCTTGAAGCGCTGAGAGGTGTCCTCCGTCTAACTGGAAGCTTTTCAGCTGTGTTCCTGATCCTCTCTCTGCTATCGGTAGCCAAGCAGTGAACGCTGCGAGTGCCATGTCGCGGCTGGGTAGGTTTCGGTGCCAGACGTATCGGGTGGCGGCATCGATGAAGGTTATCGTGTAGTTGTAGATAACTTGTCCTGGTTCTCGATTGAAGAGAATATCGCTGTACACCTTCTCGAGTGGTGCATACGCGGGTGCGCTCTGGTTGTGGTGGGAAGCAAACGGTCGATGTGGTAAGTCGGCTTCGGGGCAGATAAGGCAAGTTCCTCGTGTTCCTTGAAGTTCTTTGCCGTCGGGTAGTAGTAGCGAATCCTTGTCTAGAACTCCTGCTCGAATTGTGTTATTTAACACTGTGTAGCTTGGATGTCCTGTGCGTGCGTGCCAGATGTCTTCAGGAGCGCGATGTCCGGGTGAGCGTTGATACGCGTCGGAGTTGGAGTAGAAGCTGGCGACGAAGTGTGCGCTTCTGTGGACTTCTCGTTGAGTTGGATTCAGCTGCTGTACGGGTGTTGGTGGTGCTTCGTCGACGAAGATTGGTGTCGTTGGTCCTGCTGCTGATGATGATGTAGCTGCTGCCGATGTTGTCTCTGCTGCTGCCGATGTTGTTTCTGCTACTGCCGATGTTGTTTCTGCTGCTGCCGATGTTGTTTCTGCTGCTGCCATTTGTTGAATTGTTGCTAACGCGCGTGTTCGTTCTGCTTCAGGGATGGTGTGTGAGTACCAGAAGCCTCCCGGGCTGAAGTCGGGATCCAGATCCGAGGGATGTGTCCAATCGGCGAAGTTGACGATGGCATCGCTGTCTGCAGTGCCCAGGTCTGGGACGAAGTCGAGGACGAAGACATTGTTCTTCAGAATCGCCTTTCCGATGTAGAGACCGCCTTTCCCGTGGTACAGCTTAAACTCCTGGGTGGTGCTGTCGGCTTCCAAGTGGATGCCTTTCGCCATCAACTGGCTGACACTTAGTAAGTTATAGCCGAGTCCCTCCGCGATAAGTACCTTTGACATGTGCAGTATAATGTCTGTCGCTCGCGACTGAAGTTGTACTACTCCTTGTCGTCGTGTGCGCAGGTTCTGGTTGTTGGCGACCGTGATGACTACTTCTCGCTGAAGTCGATGTTCGCGTTGAACGAAGCGTCCTGAGGAGCACATATGTTGTCCGCAGCAACTGTCCAAGAACCAATTATCTTGTCCGGACGGTTCGCTTTGAGCGATGGCAGCGTACGTCGGGTTCGGCTGGAGTGACTCGCGGCGAGGCGTGCTGTTGTCGAGTTCTTCTTCCGGTGAGTAGTGAGGTGGTGACTCGGTTGTGCAGGAGTCTGTTATCTTCACCATGCAATTGACGATGTTTCTTGCTCCTTGTGCAGATTGTCCAGTTGAAGTCGTTGAAGCTTGGATTGAGGTTGTCGGATTTGGTTGCGTTGAAGTGACTTGGGAGCTTGAAGGCCGAAATTGTCGCTGTGTTGTTCTCGATTGCTGACGAGACGGGCAGTGCGTACGAGGATGACCCAAAGTCTTGCAGATGTGGCAGAACGGAGGTACTGACTTCACTCGTTGTTGTTGCTGATTGTTGTTGTTGTATCGTTGCTGAGTGTGAAACGCGAACTCCGGTACTAACGTTTTCTTCTTGTGTCGTTCTTCTTGCAGGTCCATGTCCTGCTGCTCGGTGTGGATTTCGGCGCAGAGTGCTGCTTCGGAGATTCTCCCGTGTGCTCATAATATGGCGCAAGTGGAGCGCCACTGGGGGCCAAGACCGCCGATGACTACCGTGACGAAGGCGTCTTCTGAAATTGATCCTCCTCATCGAAGAAGCTTGTCGCGCAGTTCGCGGCAGCGACTGATATAAGCCATGCCTTTCTCGCCTGGTTTCATTTCAATTGTTGTGAGCTGCGCCATTAACCGGCTTTGATTTACACTGTCTGTTGCTTGATACATGTTCTTCAGGTGGTTGTACGCGAGCTCCGCGGAGTTGCCGTAGCCTCGATAAGTTCTGATGTTCTGCTGCTGGGTCGGGGTGATGTTCCTCAACAATATTGTGTACGCCATCATTGATTGATAGGTGTGCTGCTGCTTCTCATACTGCGTGCCGTTTGCTGGATATGGCAGGAACAAGTCGAAGAAGCCAAGAATCTGTGCTCCTTCCATCATCAGCTCGAATTCGAACGACCAGGTGAAAAAATCCTTCCCGTCGAAAGGTTTTGTCGTTTGTAGTTTCAGAACATGCGCGAATTGCGATTGAACTTGTAATGCGTCCAGTGCTCTTTCTTGTCCCGGTGCAGATTGAGGTTGCGGCATGAAGCTGACGGAGCAGCGCTGGGGCTCGTACGGAGCGAAGGTAGGCTGTTGTTGTTGTTGATTCCCGCGTGCGTAGGATGAGCCGTCGAGGCTCATGGGTGTCACGTTGTTGTTGTTGCTGTTGTTTGACTGCGCAGGTACTCCTTGCTGATGCTGCTCGTAGAAGGACATGAAGGAGAAAAATTTCTCCATCATACTTGGATCGAAGCCCGCGGGTGTTTCCGTAGACCCAGCTGCTGGTCTCGTTGTCCCTTCCTCTGTTTATAGGCCAGAGACAGGAGGTGGAGTAGGGGTAGTGCCGGGAGAGCCGTTGGAGGAGATCCTCTCCTTTCTAGCAGACATGTCTTCTTTGTATTGAGTGTTGAAGAAAAAGAGTAACTTTGAACTCTAACCAGCTCTCATACCATGTTGGGCTGAGGTGCCCTAGGATATTTGTAGAGTTAAAGTCTGAGTAGGATGATGTAATAGCGGAAGCGTTTGAATAAAAATCTTTGAACCACCTTGCGCTAGTATGTGAGGGCAAAGTAAGTTGATTAAAACAAGCAAATACAAAGGTTTATATAAGAGTACAAGGAATACGAATAGATATGATTAAACTGTTTTTCTGTTGTGATTCGATACAGTGCGACTCGGGCAACTGCTCAATGTCGAGTCAGTTGTGTGTCCTTGCTGTCGCGCTGCATTTGTCAAGTCAAAGGTCGCTGACCTTTGACCTTCTCGTAACCTCCATCGGTTACCCTAACCTCCAGCGGTTACCCTAACCTCCGAGGGTTGACTCATTGCGTTGCTTCGTTTGTGTCCTGAGTCTCGACACGACAGAGGCGCTTAAGACTTGTTGTTCCCAACACGGGCTAGTCCCGAAGCGTAGGCCGACTCGGCTGCTCCAGCAGTGCGAGGTTTGGTGAAACAGTGCGCGCGAAGTTAGCAAAGCCCCGTTAGCAGTAACGGGCGAACAACGGTTGCGGCTGTACGCGATGTTGATGGTCGCAGTAAGGAATAGTGAGAAGTTTCCTTACATTTACTAACAAAAACAAAAGCTTCTTGAGCTTTGTGTCAACCCTAAAGCTAACGCTTTTTACTGTGCACATTTCACCCCTGGTTTCTTTGCAAGGGAAAGTCTCATTCTTGAAGAACAATGCAGCATTGACAAGTTACCTACATATGCCCACATCCACACACATCACCACTCTTCAGCAATCACACCTTTTTCACAACCTTCCCACAGAGCGCGAACAAGGTGCCATTCGAGTCGACTCAAAAGCCGCAATCACACCTTTTTCACAACCTTCCCACAGAGCGCGAAATCGTTACCTTCTTGTCCTGCTACTGCATACGCTGACATCACTATATCAGTCACAATACTGCGGGCACTACCCTCCGACCCAGCAACAATGTCATCAACGAACATGAAGCTGTAACGCTTGCGTCCAGACTTGGGATTTGTGAGGTTGAACCACGCAGGCTTGGAGTCAACGCTAGCTGGGAAGCAGTTCGGCGTAAAACCAAACCACGGTGATTCTCCTCCTTTGAGGTTTTTGAGAAGGAGATAATAGGTTATTCTGTAGGAAGAGTCTGAGTACCTGCCAACAGCGCAAGAATAGATAATAGTCAGTACACACTGCCATGGCACCAAATGCTCCTCCCTCTCTAGTTCAAGACCAGCAAGAGCATGACGGTTGCACCAAGACCCGCAAGAGCACACTACGCTGCTTGTGGAGGTCTCAAAAACTGGGATGGAAATCCAACTCGCAAGACTCGCAAAAGTGATTGTGACGAATGTGGCAGCGCCAGTGGATAAGTGAATGACTCGGAGGGGACGGCAGCATACCTCACCACCTTTACCGAGGCGATCCCCGAAGCTCCTTTGTCGCCAACTATCTTCCCATTACGCTTGGTAGGTTTCATCTTGGCCACGTATTTTACTGGAAACGGAATCATGGGAGGGATGGGGAAGCGGGAAGTTGATAGCTGCTGATTCTGAGCTAGCAGAATGAACGGAGAAGGACCGGGAAGCTGGGGAAGGCGAATGTTGGAACTCCCATGGATGGCTGGCTAGGACAAGCACGACATCATGCAACACACGCTAGCGCACACCAGCACGCACATCAACTGCAAAGCACATGATATCATCTGTAGTAGGCATATCATCCGTAGTAGTACCACACAAATCAGCTGCTGCACACATCAGCTTTGTCGAGGAGCCGGCTGCGAAGTTTCATCATGAAAGAAAGTAGAGATTTTTTCAGATATTACTACTAGTCGTATATGCACACGACGACAGTCAACGCTACGGACGCTGACCGTCACGTTTGCCTCAAACCGCCGACCGTTCTTCCGGCGCTGACGGAAACTTACTAAATGTCTTTCCCTTATACAGCAGAGGTTTGGCCGAAGCGGCAGAAGCGGCAGAAGAGCCGCCGTCGGGGAGCGTCGCGATCAACGATGTGGCAGACGCGCCGTAGGCCGTGAAGACAGTCACACCTGCAGGCAGGCAGGCAGGCGAGGCCGCAGGCAACGATTTGAGACGTGACATGGTTCAGTGTTTTAACGGTTAGAACGTGACAAAACTGCATCCGGGTTCCGACCCAAATCTTAAGTAGTAAAGCAGTCAAATACCTGTTTCTGATGGCAAGCAAGACGCTCAAGGAAAACTTTCGCAACTCCCAATATTTGGGATGCAGGGCTTACAGAGCAGCAGGCGGCAGAGCAGAGATGATGCGCAACGCTCCATGCTGATCACAAAATGCATCGCGACTTGGTTTTTGGCAAGTACTAGAAATAACTGGCACATTTGCAGAAGACCTGTCAATGCCAGCCAACCGCAGGAGAATATATGTGCGAAATGTTGGGGTTCGCCAAGCGCCGCGAAGTGTGCGAACCCGGCGCGTGGCAGGGGAAGAACCTGTATACGAAGGGGAACCCGGTGTAGGGAAGGGGAACCCGGTGTAGGGAAGGGGAACCCGTTGTACCAGACGGAGGACCCGGTGTACCCGAAGGGAAACCGGCTGGTGAACACGGGGGAAACAGTGACAGCTGCGAAATAGAAATATGTACTTGTTACGGGTGCAATGAATCTAGGTAGCGAGGATTGCACTAGAGTGATCAATGAGTACAAAATATGAGTGAAGGTGTTATGAGTTGTAAAAGAGAGTGCGCAGGTTAACGAATAACGAGGTGATTGAACAGACTGATTATACAATGAAGGCACACACTAATCTAGTGAGTAGGCTAGCTAGGAGGGAACTTCGGGTGACTGAGGTTGGGTGCAGGTTTGGAGAAGAGAAAAGCCGAAGGCGACGCGAGGAGGCTCGGCATCGTTGATGTCGGCCAAACGTGCAGAGTCCGAAAATCGGGGATGTACGCGAAGCACTCAACCCCGATAAGGAATTAGAGAAAATTTCTTACAAAAGCATAAGCGAACACTTATACACGAAAATGTGCAAACGGTAACGCGGTCCGTGCGAGCTATCTAGTGTTATGCTGGCGCGAGGTTCAGGCTAGTCCCGAAGCGTAGGTCAACTCGGCTGCTCCAGCAGTGCGAGGTTTGGTGAAACAGTGCGCGCGAAGTTGGCGAAGCCCCCGTTAGCAATAACGGGCGAACAACGGTTGCGGCTGTACGTGATGTTGATGGTCGTAGTAAGGAATAGCGAGAGATTTCTTTACACTAACCCCCCCCTTCAAGAAGCCCCCTCCGCTACGCGAGTGCGTGTACATCGCGGAAACCCCGGCTCCTCAGGTATACTTGTAGGGCAGGGTGGTTTTCGATGTTGGTCAGGGGCACACAGCTATCCTCAGTTGGCGTGCAGTCTTCCAAGCGAACGAGGAACTCGATCCTCTTGATGTATGTGGAGTATCGAATCCGATGGCTCAAAATCTTCTCAGGCTCAATGATCGGCTCCGATGCAAGGCGAGTCATGGATGTCGAGCGGTGACGAGGCAGTTGGCTCGTGGTTGGGATGTGAGGGCGAAGCAGGCTGACGTGGAATGATGGGCTGATGTACCAGTCCGTCGGTAACAGTAAATGGGCAGTAACTGGGGTGATCATGTGGCTGATTTGGAATGGTCCACGGTAGTGGGGTCGTAATTTCGGTACGGCGCGCAGTCTTAAGTTCTTTGTATTGAGCAGTACGTAATATCCTGACTGGTACGTAACTTATCGGCGGTGGCAGTCAGCTTTTTGTTTTGCGATGACGTTGGCCTTTTTAATTGCTTCTACGGCTCTGGTGTGGGCAGCTTGCAGAATCTCGGTGAATTGTTGTGCGCGTCGCGTTGGGTTGTCTGGGCTCGACGTCATGGGCACTGTTGGGTTTTGCCCGTAGTTCAGGTAAAACAGGGACTGCTGCGTTGTCGCTGACGTGGCGTTGTTGTACGCGAACTCGGTCAGTGGCAGCTGCTGCTCCCATGTTGTTGGGTCGTCGCACGTGGCACGAATCAACTGCTCCATCGTCTGATTCGTCCGCTCCGTTTGACCGTCGGTCTCGGGTTGGTACGACGAGCTGAACTGTAGCCTGGTCCCGAACTGCTCCCAGAGGTTCTTCCAGAAGTTGCTGGTAAACTTCGTGTCACAGTCGCTGATGATTGCGGTCGGTATCCCGTGCAATCGAATGACAGTTGCGATGAATAGGCGAGCCGTTTTTTTGGCTAAGATCGATTTCTTGCACGCAGTTAAGTGAGCCATTTTCGTCAGTCTATCAACGACGACCATTACCGCGTCGTTACCCCCAGGGTTCGAAGGTAACCCCGTGACGAAATCCATGGTCACCTGCTGCTAGGCACGCTCGGGCGGTGGAATCGGGTGCAACTGACCCGCCTTTATTTTTCGCGAGCTCTTCATCACCTGACACGTAGGACACGACTCCACGTGGTGTTGTACGTCCGTCAACAGTTCCGGCCAGTAGTAATACTGCTGCACTTGCTGTCGCGTTTTTTCCACCCCGAAGTGACCCAAAGTAACCCCCTCGTGTGCCTCCTACAGTAACAATTCCCTCAGTAGCGAGTACGCGAGTACCCAAATGCGGCCGGTGCCTGTTTTTACGTAATAGACTCCCTTGGCTTCTGCCAGTTGCTGTGAACTTCCGGTCGTGAAAAATGGGTCGGTGCGATATCTGTGGGTGAATAGGCCTGTTAACAGTGGGTTTGTTTGGGCGAGTAGTATGGCGTGCAGTTGGTGGTAAACTTTGTATCACAGTCGCTGATGATTGCGGTTGGTATCTATCGGAACATTATATAGCTTAAACATTTGTGTAGGCTGTAGTGGGGTATCCCATAAGGGGTACAACCTAATTAGGGTTAGTACTTGTACCCACTTCTTTCATAGTTCATTTATTTCTCGTTTCAGTTTTCTCATGGTATCGAGTAGGTTCCCTCGTGGGAACTGTTCCTAGGGCCCACCAAGTCTATTTTTTTTCCTGCCCGGAGCGCGCTCAACCCTAGCCCGAGTCGCGCTCCCCTTCCTCCACCCAGTCGCGCCGCCCTAGTGGCCCCGGTGCCTTCCTCGCGGCCCTCACGCCACATTGCGGCCTCGTCGCCCGCCCTACGGCCCGCGCGCCGCCCTTCCTAGCCCGCGCGCCGCACTTTCTGGCCCGCGCGCTGCCCTCCCTGCCCCGATCCGCCGCCCTGCGGCCTCGGCGCCTACCCTGCGGTCCCGCCGCCCTTACGTGCGGCCCCGCCTACTTCCTGCGGCCCCGCCCTTACCTACGGCCCCGCCACCTACCGGCGGCCCCGCCCTTACCTGCGGCCCCGCCGCCCTCAACTGCGGCCTCGTCCCCCTTACCTGCGGCCCCGCCGCCCTCAACTGCGGCCCCGTCGCCCTTACCTGCGGCCCCGTCGCCCTTAACTGTGGCCCCACCGCCCTCACCTGCGGCCCCGCCGCCCTTTACCTGCGGCACCACCGCCCTCACTTGCGGCCCCGCCGCCCTTACCTGCGGCCCCGTCGCCCTCAACTGCGCCCCCCCCCCCCCCGCCCTTACCTGCGGCCCCGTCGCCTGCTGCAGCGCCGCCCGCCACCCGAGCCGCCTCACCCAGCCGAGCAGCCGACCGCCGAGCCGCCCTGCAGCATCACTGCCGAGCCGCCCGGGCAGCCGAGCAGCCGAGCCGCCCAGCAGCCGAGCCGCCGAGCCGCCCTGCAGCCGAGCCGCCCGGGCAGCCGAGCAGCCGAGCCGCCTAGCAGCCGAGCCGCCCTGCAGCCGAGCCGCCCAGCCGCCCAGCAGCCGAGCCACCGTGTAGCCGAGCCGCAGAGCCGCCCGAGCAGCCCCGTCCGGTGAGCACAACGCCTCTGTCACTGCACTGCCTTTATCCTACTGTTTGCGCTACTAGTCTACTGCTGTCATGGCTACCCCTAGTGTGCTGAGGGTCGGGCCATTGACTTTCACGTCTGAATAGATGACCTGCAGCTGTTCTTACAGTGCGATAGGGCAGACGGTCTCTCCCTCTTTGACCTCACCTCTGGCGCCTCTCCTGCCCTTGCTGCTGATGCTGACGCCACTGTTCGCTCCTAGTGGGCCACGCGCGACGCTGCTGCACGTCTTGCTGTGCGTCGCCACCTCCCTACCTCCGAGCATGCGCACTTTAGTCAGTACAAGAGTGCTCAGACCTTGTACGACGCTGTAGTTGCACGCTACTCCTCCCCTGCCACTCCTGCACTGAGCCGTCTCATGCTACCGTACCTCTTCTCTGACCTTGCTGCCTTTCCCACAGTAGCTGACCTCATTACGCACCTCCGCACTAGTGACATTCGCTACCGCGCTGCGCTTCCTGCTGAGTTCTGCGCCAAGAACCCCCCCCCCCCACCCCCATGTATATCACCCTCTACTACATAGTCACCCGGCTCCTTGACTCCCTTCGCGTAGTCAGGGACCACTTCTTCGCAATGTGCCCCACCACTCTCACCGTTGACCTCCTCGAGAAGGCCCTCCTAGCGGCGGAGAAGAGCATAGTCGCTGTAGGAGCCTCTCGTGGTGACCCCCGCACCCCTGTCTTTGAGGGGTGTTCTCCCTCCCCCCTCTTGCCCTCTGTTGCTTCTGATGCTGCGGCCGACCTCGTTGGTTCTGAGTCGGTCGGTGCTGCGTCTGCCCCTACGGGGAAGCGCCGCACAAGCAAGGGCAAGGGAGGCAAGGGCGTTGGAGGAGCTAGCGGGGGCGGTGGAGGCGGCGTTGGAGGCGACGGAGGGAGTTGGGTGGTGGCGGGAGTGGTGGAGGGGATGGGGGTATTGGTGGCAGCAGTGGAGGCGGAGGCGGCGGCAGTAGCGGAGGGAGCGGAGGCGGCGGTGGTGGCGGAGGCGGCGGCGGTGTAGGAGGCGGCGGAGGCGGTGGAGGTGGCGGTGGAGCTGGTCGCGGGTCTACGCAGAGGAGTGGCGCCGGTGGTGGTCCGCGCCAGCAGCAGCAGCGCGGTCGTGAGACCCTGACCCCTCAACAGGTCCGTGAGTGGTACACTGCGCGCCAGCGGGGTGGGGTTGCTGGTCCGTGCACCTACGTTCTGCGTACGGGCGACCGCGCGGGTGAGCAGTGTGGGGGTGCGCACCCCACCCAGCGCTGC